GCAAAGCACATACCAAATGGGCTAACAAGTGCGCTTTGCACATCCTCCATTAATTCGAACAGACAGACGGTGTGATCGACGTACTCCAAATCGCATATCATCATCATCATACAGCGAGATACAGTGAGGCGAACTTCACTGATCGCTGCTAAGCTCACAATGTATACAAATCAAGTAGTAAAGCACAAGATGGAGAGTAATTGGGCCTAATTAGAGGAAGACAAAGAAAAAGAACCTCTATGGTGTACACAAATTACACAATCTAAATGTACACACATATCTTTTCAAGCGTTCGGACCTGATAAGAAATGACAACACTGAAGGTCATGGCTGTGAACCGACAGCAGTGGCGATCTTGCTGTCACTTCGTATCAGACTGAAATGCTTGAAAACGTGTGTATACACATTTGAACTGTGTACCTATCGGGGTCTTATGTGATTGGCCACTCCAAGTCCCGGTTGCCGGTTTCCATCACTGAACAATAGGTCATCATGACTATGGGGTTCGGCCCGTGTGTTATTCATCACACCTAGGTGTGTAATCAACAGAATATTCTCACTTAACTTGTATGCAATACCAGTTCGGCAGCGATCAGGGAAGTTCGCCTCACTGAATTTCGCTGTACGATGTTGATGAAGAGGATTATGATGGTTTGATGATCGGTTCCGGTGTCCTGGATTAATAATGGTAGTCGCACAGGTGCTATTCGTACGAATTCATCAATCGATTCGGACGGACCACCCCAAATGGATTTCAAATATATCTTTTTCCGTTCTGTTTATTCAGCATTATGCGGTAACTGAGTCTGACGAATGCGTGCACTGAGCTGGTCTGTTTCGATCGAAGCAGTTGCTGTTCACGAAAGATGTCAGTCGGTGATTTCCGGATATTCTGCTATCTCACACTTGTGCTTATTGTCGCACATTGTAAATCGCTATCCCCGTCGGACAGCAAATTGGTCATGCTATTCACCCTCAGTCGTCATGGTGACCGAGCACCCATACATAAACTACCATCCGATCCGTACCAAAATCACTGGACCTCCGGCTATGCCCAATTGACTGTTTCCGGCGCGGCCCAGCTGACCGAGCTTGGTCAGTTTGTTCGAAACCGGTACAGCTCATTCATTCCGCAAACATATCACAAAGTACAATATCCAAATTTTCACATTTTTATGTTCGATTTTATTTAGGATGAATGCTTTTTTAGAAGCTCAGGCACACATCGTACTCTTATGTCCGCAAACAGTTTTCTCCGAGGACTTTTCAAATTGGAATTGCAGCAAAACGCTTCCATCCCTCCGCCAGTATTCACCCTGTCCAGTGATGATGATCATTTGTTAAAGATGTCTCGAAATTGTCCGGAATATCGTGAACGTTTGCACAAACTAACGAACAGTGATCAGGTGGCAAAGAAAATCTCACTGTTTTCTGAAACCATCACTCGTCTGGAAACAGTATTCCGTAAGTTATCCAATTGTGCATGAGTTTTCCAAAACCCTTCTTATATCTGAAACTCTTTTGATTCGGTTAGCGTTCCTACCATGTAAATACCTAGCAAATGGCTTACTTTATGTTTATCTATAATCCCCGTTTTCGTTTACCTCTTCAGTCAGCCTTTTCGTTTGCGAAAATATTGACGTATCAGTTAGTGTAACTTCTGTAGGCATTAAGCCTATATTTCGGTCAAAGGTGTAAGAGGTAGAGAGAAATAAAAGTTAATTCCCGAAACTTTTAACAAGGTCTGCGAAAACCTGTTCCTTGTTAACCAAAATACATGCTAAAGAGGGTACCGTAGAGTCAAGATTTAGCTTTATGCGCGCGCGAGAGAGAGAGAGAGAGAGAGAAAATAACGATATTGGGATCAGTGTGACGACCAGTGTACAATTTCTAACTGAAATGTAAGCATACCTCAGCTTGCAAAAGTTATACAAATACCAATGGATCTAGTTGACAGATGGAGGAGTGGCGATGAGAAATTAAATGTGTGTGTGTGTATAGTGGATCTGTGAGATTCATATGAAACTTATATGGAAACTCTTCACAGGCATTCCAATGACGTTCGCACATAGGTTAGTTATCAACTCCTCCAGCGGGATTGAACAGACACGGTTAATGACGGTCAGTTCATGTCGAAGCAGCTTAAAGTTCTTCTTTAGGAGATTAGCAAAGAACAAATAAACAATAAATAAAGTGAAACAGGAGAAACACGCTAGTACAGGAACTCCAAGTCTCAGGTCTTAGGTTGCCGGTTACTATCTCTGAACAGTAGGTATTCGTGACTATGGGGTCCGCCGTGATTGCTGTTCAACACACACTAGTGTGTGATAAAAAGAGCTCTGAAGAACAGAAACGAAAGTAGTAATGGTAGAGCAGGGACAGTGAAGAAACTACCCGACGATAGGCTAGCGACTGCAGGCAGGATGCTAGAGATGGATCATGGATCATGATCGAGTAGTCTTAGGTTGAATACGATCAGGAATAAAATAAATAAATAATAAAAGAAACAACTTTGCTCGTAGCACGAGAAGCAAGCGGATCTATCAAAAGAGACAGACATAAAGGAGGTAAAGGCAACCCAAGAAGGGAAACAGAGAACTTGGAACGTAGTTGAGTCGAATCAAAAAATAAGTGTCTGTGGGAGAGAGAATCAATGATGTTTTAGGGAATTTGTAAGAACGGTAGTTTTAGAAGCATTGAGGGAAAAATGATTGGCATTGTACCAGGAGGTGTTTAAGATCAGAAACTAGTGACATTAATTGCACTACGGTCACGATGGATGTTAATTTGGACAAGGCGAGTAGTGAGGTTGAAAACGGAGCAATGGAAGGTGGCGTAATCGGCAAAACAATGGATTAGGTCGACAGTTTTAGAAAGGAGGTCATTGATAAAAAGAAGAAAGAGGGTAGGCATAAGTACTGAACCTTGGGGAACTCCAGCATTCATAGTGAACGGCTGAAATAGAACCCCATTAGCTCAGATGCAGACAGTTCGCTTACTGAGGAAACCTGATTTCCATACTACCATAGACGGAGGGACCCCGAGCATGAACAGTTTCACCAATAGACCCTCGTGCCAAACTCAATCGAAGGCTTTTGAGATATTAAGCGTCATTAAGTGTGTTTCTCTGTGGTTATCGAGTGCAGCGGACCAGGATTGTAAGGCAAGATCNTTAGCCTTTCTCGTTCGAGGAACGCGTACACTTGGTCGGAGATAAACGTCTTTTTACTTCCTTTCTGTTTTGATGAATATGCAAAACACAATACAAAAATACTAAATATATATATATATACCTGGCGGAACATGTAGATTTTTCATTACCTACCCTTGTGTAACATCCAGCAATCCAGTTAACCTCCACCCCCACCCTCCCCTCGCCGGAAGGGGAGCTTCCGGTTACCCTCAACTTGGTTTAGACCGCCTGTCGAGCGGTATACCGGGGTACGGCTGGGTGTCGCAGTGGCGCTCATGTATCTACCCATTATTGTAATTTCAGTCTATGTAAGTACGCTATCTTCTGCTTGAATTTGCTCTCAAGATTCTAATCTTCATTCTGCTGTTTTATCCAAATGGACAACTAAAACTGGTGCATGAAAGTGCATGGTTAATGGTTGTAAGAACTGAAGTGTAGCCACTGTTGCATCCAGACAGCGTCTTGGAGTCACCGATGAGAGCTGAGCACCTGGTG